GTTTACAATCATTTTGTCAACATTCATTATATTAAGGTTATTTTGATTATATCGAGAGATATGGTCAAGAGAAGAGTCAGAAAGAGAGTTATTCTTCAACCAAGTTGAAAACCAACCCTTTAAATACATTTTAGAGTAGTACAATTTAATCTATTAGACTATTTCAAAGGTTTGTCACATGGTTGCTTCCAACTTCTTTAAATTCAAACAAAACAATTGTTGGTGAAGTGATTGTTGACGAAATGAATCAAACCAACATTTATTTTTTATTTTACATTATCAAATTCACGATTTTGATTGGTCAATTGGTCAATCAATAATTGCATGAACAGTCTCTATTATAAATATACATATATTTTTATTCATTTTTAATACAATAAAATTTGATGTGAAATGTTAGAATTAAATATAAAAAATCAAGATGTACATCGCAATGTAACAATGCGTTGTGCAATGTTGGGTAGGCTGCGCATCTTGAAATAAGATTGTGCAATGGTACCTGTTTTACATCGCGATGCAATTTTATAATTTAAGATCTGATGTATTTTTAAAACTTTGAATAACATTTAATTTTGTTTTAGTATGAAAAAAAAAAGTGAAAATGAAATCATTCTTCAATATGCATATCCAAGACTTGATGAGACAATATCAATAATTATTAATCGTTTGTTGGAAAGTCCATCTTGTATACATCCTAAATAGGCAAATAATTTATTATTGTATTATTGTTACTAATTAATTATCAAAGTGATATAATAATAATAAATATTTTTATTTATTAGGTAGAGTATGTGTTCCAGAAACTTGTGGTAATTTTAATTCATTAGATGTTTCAACAGTCATAGTGTTGATTCAGAAAATGGATCAATCATGTCCAGAAGAAAAACTCATAATAGTAATTAAATTAGAAATTGGAAATTAAAGATTATAGAGGGACATATATATGTATTAATTTATTCCTTTCTTTACCATTAATTGAATTTTCAAAAGATCATGAAAAGGCTTCATTAAAACCTCATATAAAGTATTTTGATAATTTTCTTCAAAATACCTTGAAAGGAACCAAAGCTAAACGAAGGTAATGATAATAAACATCAATTTTTATTTTTATTTGTTAATTATTCACAATCGTTATTTCGCATTGATATATATAATAAATTAGCTAAAAAACCAGCATAAATGGAATTTTAATAATCTTTATCAATAATCACAAAGTCATAAACAGAAAATGAGAAGTTTAAAATTTTTATGTTTTAATATAGATTGTATTGGAATTTACACATTATGTATCTATGGTTATTTGGAAATTAAATAAATAAAATATTTACTTTTATTTAATTCGTAATCCAAAGAATATGTATGAATTGATCTTTTTTGTTTCTATTAAACTACGAATCCAGGTGATTGGTTCAAAGTTAATATCGTTATGAGATTATAAACTGAGTAATAATAGCGGAAAATAATTGTACAAATCTTTTTAAAGTTTTTTTATCTGAAAATGAATCCTTCTGATATTAATATGAAGGTTTATGAGTTTTAAATTTCATTTTAAACCATGTACTTTGTGCATATATACATTATCAAAAACTGATAAAAGAAGACCTTTGGTATCTAATTTTTGGTGTACGTTTTGAACATGAATAAGTTGTACGAGTTGTTTAAAAAATAAACGCATTTTGTATTTGTAATTTTAAAAGCTCAATAATAATAAAAAATTCAAACTTAAATTACTTGTTGTGGATATAATAATGGCATAAGTCCGAAAGTTCATTATTATTAAAATTAAAATAAGTATTAGTATGGAAAAAATGTGCTACGAGTTTAAATATATATATATTTTACAAGAGTGAATTTCAAATTTTGATTATTTTGGCTCTTCCCTTTTTTCCACTGTGATAAACATCAAACAACGTCAAATAGTTTTGTTCCTTTAATCTGTGTTCACTGTGCTCAAACTTCTTACTTAACACATAACTCATTACATTCAGACCATTGTCAAATAGCCCTTGGAAAAAAAATTTTCCTGTTGGCAGCCGGCATTTAGTGATAATAACCTGTTTTCAATGATTGATTGGTTAGAAGTTACTAGCAATGATATCTGTATTATTAATGAAGAAAGGTAGTTCCATCAGCAAAATAATATAATTGTAGTTGCTAAGAAATAATAGTAATAGGTTCAAGTTTTCAAGTTGAGCTCGAACCATTGATGTTACATAAATAGAATGAATGATTTAATTTTGCTATTTCATAATACTTTTATTTTATTTATGTAAATTACTAAAAAACAATTTGAGAGC